AATGATCCTTGAAGCTTTACTTTTTCAACCCAAGGTCCAGTTAGCATTTATTTACTTTATTGGTTGATATGCCTCTCTGGTGTCAAGTTTTTAGTTTTCAAGTTTTTCTTTAAGAATATAGGCTTGTTGTCTTCTATGAATGCCCATATTCTAGATTTGTAAGTTTGTTTTATTTGGCAAAGGCAGTGCATATACTTGATGTATATACCTCCTATTATATCCCAACAGGAGCATGTGATGTCAGTTTATTTTTGGTAATGCTAAGGTGAATCATTCTGTGAAGATGGTTTGTATCAGTTATTCCAGTATCGTAAAGACAAGTTTCCCTTTTGCAATTAATAATCTATAACTTTCAATCATGTGAATGTCCCGTTCCTAAAAACCTCTCATCCAGTGGTATTAGCAATCCATCAATGATCTCTTTCCATTAAATGATTAAATTAGTATTAAGTGGTAGTTTTCTAATTTCACTTTTCTTTTGCATTTATTAGTTGGCTGTGTTCTATAGAGTAGCATTTTCCTGTTCTCTCTCTCTCTCTCTCTCTCTCTCTCTCTCTCTTTCCCTCTCTCTCTCCCTCTCCCTCATCTTCCCTCCCCACTTCCTTTAGGAGCAGACTGTGGATCTCTTCCAATATGTTGTGTATCATCTGTAACACCATGTGATGTGTGCACATTTAATTACTACAGTGACTGCATTTACTCTTCAAAGATGCTTGTTCCTCTCCCATAGTTGCTTCTTTTATTATAATTTGCATGCCTTTAAAAACATTCCCCCTGATGGCTCCAATTTACAATATGTCTTAGATTGTCGCTCTATTATCTCAAGTTCTTCAAAGTCTTTATTTTCTGTGTCTACCAGCTTTGATTCAGGGTGCATCAGTCACTTACTCCTGTGTTCAAGAGTGTTTTATAATTTTAAGCATATATTGAGTAGGACTTAAGAAACTTACATTACTTCTGTTAGGTATCCTGGTTTGTCACTGTCTTGGGAAAATTTATGTTAATTTCTTACATTCTAGATTCTTAGGCTGTATGATTGGTGGTCAGTTTAAGCTCCATTGATGCTGGGATCTGGTATTTCATTGGGTTGGTGATCTGTGCCTTCATTCTCATAGGATACCTTTCTTTTGGAAAGAATAATAATAAATAATCCAGCCAATGTCCAGTACAGACAGAGGCTGGAGCTGCTGGATCCTCTATGTTGTGTTAAGAGCTAGTGAGTGACTACTGAGGGTCATTTACTGAAGAGCAGTATGTACTTTCCTGATGACTATGCCTGGAGCACATCAGTCCTTTAGAGCTTCGTGCCTGGCCTGTTGTGAGTGAAAGAACTGCTGTCTCCAGAAGACAAGTGGCTTGCCCAGGGCCAAACAGAAGGGAGAAAGGGATAAGAACCCAGGGCTCTTGGTGAGTCTACTAGTCAGGCATTGATTAAGTCTAGGCCTTGTGTACCTTGAACCCAGGGCCCAGCCTTTGCCTCTTTGTATGGGACATCAAGGGAAGTGGAGTATGAGGTGGAGGCCTCAGGCAGAGCAGGCAGGCTGGTGTCTGCCGCCAGCGCCCTTGGATTTATTAGATGTACACTTTGTCACATGTCTCTGGGTTAGGGTTATCTACACAATGGCACTTTAAGAATGTATTTTGAAGCCCTCAATTTATCTTTCTGCCATTGTTCATAGTAGTTTCACTCAAAGGCAAGAACATGCTTTTGAACTGACCTTTTAAACTTTGCATTTTGTTGGCCACAAAGGGACACATGAAAGGAACAATTGCACATTCTCCATGTATGAGCACACTAAGGTCTCCTTTAGTGAGAGGGCAAATAGGCACCAAGTTTCTTAGCTGCTTCTGCAGCTGATGAGTGGCTCTCTGAGGGGAAGTCCTATGACCAGGGAGAGGTCTTGCTGTTTCCCATCCAGCAGATACACCATCCCCACCTTCACCATGCCTGAGGCCATTTGCCTGCCCTCAGAAGCCAGGAACAGTTCAGGGACTGGGCTTTATCCCATGGTTTCCAGGAAGTCTGGGCCAAGGAAGGGGGTAAAAATTGGAGAAGAACAAAGAGCATTTGAAGTCAAGGGCTAGCTGGCTCTGGCACTTCTAAGTTGTACAACCTTGTTTAAGTCACTTAACTTCTGTGAGAGTCACTCTGGCATTCAGCATCTGTTTATGGAGCTGGGACTTATGCTGGATTTGTGGGATGTGTGAGACCAAGAGAATTCTGCTACCTTCTCTTCCTTCTTATTTACAACTCTTAGCAGACCTATCACTTCCCAGTGATGTCATAGCAAATCACCAAACTCAGTGGCCTAAACCAGCATAAACTTATTGTCTCACAGCACTGGAGGGCTGAAATCTGAAACCAGTTCCACTAAGCTAAAGCCAAGGTTTGGTCAGTGCTGCTTTCTTGAGGCTACTAGGGAGACCTCTGTTCTTTTTACCCATGTATTCTTTGGCTGTGGCCCTCTTCCATCTGCATTGCACACCACTCACTCTGCTTGTATCATCTTAGCTTATCCTCTTCTGGCTCAGATCTCTTTTGCTGTGCCCTTATGTTGTAAACGGTGGGGAATAACTGGCCAATGTACTATATCAGGTTTTTAAAATCATTTGGTACATAACAGGACAGAGGTATATGCTTCTTGTATGCTTCTCATTGGCTGCCTGTGGCAGTCTGCCTGCACTGATAGTTTTCTGTGGCCTGCAGATGATATAAATATCCAAATGGTTGTAGGCAGAGAAAAGGTTCTTCACCCCTATAAGGAACCATGTGATTAGATTGGTCCCATCCAGAGGATATGGGACAGTCTCACCATGTTGGCCTTTAGCTTCATCCCACTTGCAAAATTCCCATTAGCCATGTAAGGCAAACACCTGAAGTCTGGGAAGTAGGACATGGGCATGTTTAGGAACCAGTCTACCATGGCACACCTCATTATGTGTTTTGCACCTTTGGTGGTCTTCCAGGCAGGAAAGTGGGCCTGCCAGATGGCTCTGTACAAGTGCTGGGTTGTGGAGGAATGCATGAAGGCCTGAATGAATGAAGTCCTGTTTCAATTGGTCTTAAGGGGATTAGGGTGTTCCAGGTAGAGTGAGCAGGGCTTGGCATGAGACATTCCTACCTGTGGACGATGGTGGGTCACAGCAGATGAATCTGTGAGAGCCAGGCTATGGAGAACCTATGGGGAGGCCCAGTGGGCTAGATTTTATTCCATAAGGCTATTGCCATTATATTTGGAGTCATTGCTTGAGTTTTAGTTCCTATGCTGCTACTTACTTGATGTGTAACCCTGGAGAAATTATGAAGCCTCTCAGACTTGGTACAATAACTGCTTTGGAAGACTGTTATGAGAAGCAGATAACTTTTGAAGCTTGCAAGGCACCTAGTACAATGCCTGAATAGTCAAAGAAGGAATTTGTTATTGTTATAAATGTGGTATTGTTGATGGTGATTGAAAAATTGCAGCCAGACAGCAGTCATGGCCAGACTTTCCTTGTAGAACAATGATGTGTGAAGGTGGGAAAGGGCCAGGGGCACCACACTGGAGGTCAGGAAACCCTTAGGACATCATTAGGACACTGAAGGTGAGATGGGAGAGCTAACGCAGAAGTGCTCAGGTGGGACACCAGCAGACTCATGTGTCCTGAGATATTTAGCCTCTGCTGTCCCCTACTGAAATGGCAGGAAGAAGCACACTTATGTAGGACAGGGACAGAGGAAGCCCAGGTACTGAGCTGTGCTGTGGAGCAGGTGGGCTGAAAACCTGGCATGATGAGGCTTCTGTGAAAGTTGAGCATAGTTCTTCCTCCTACTGTGTGGGATCTCTGTAGTGATCTCCCTTGTGTATCTTAGCCCACTTTCTAGTGCATTCCTCTACTCCACCTCCCACAAACAACCACAGAGTCCTAGGAGTTTGGGCTTTGCATGGAGGTGCTGCCTGACTGAGTAAGGAGGAGAGGGGGAGGGAGAAGAAGAGGAGGAAGAGGAAGAGGTCAAGAAGGGGTATGGAGGGCAGGGAGCACTGTGTTGGAGGAGAAGGAGGATCAAGAGGAGGAAGAGAAGGAAAAAAAGGAAGAGAAAAAGGTTGAGGGAAAGGAGGGGATGGAAGAGAAGGGAGCGCTGTTTTGTAGACTCTGAATCTGTGTGCACTCTTGGCTGAGTACTGCACGTCCTCTATGGTCTTCCACTCACGCCCATCACACATCCTCCAGAGGAAGCCAGCTCAATGGGGTGCACTCTGCAAGACTACGATTGTTACTTCGGTCATATTTCATCCTGCAAGGATGTTGGAGGGAAACATATTTCAATGCCACCTTCAAAAGAGCTGTCATTTTGAACATAGTAAATGGGTATTTAGAGAGTGATATAATGTTGTTATTTTGAATACATTCTTTTAAAAAATGGTTTTCCTTTAGTTTGGATTGATGTATGCTGGAGGCAAACTCTTAAGGGGAGCTTCCACACAGGTGGATCATTATAAGATGCTCTGTGCACATACCTGCATTTACAAATCAGAATCACAGAATCTCTTTCTCAGGTAACAAAAAGTTGTGGCCTAAGTTCTAAGTCTCAATACATGGCCACTGGTGACTTTACAAGAAGCTCAGAGAAACAAACCAGCAGAGAACTCAGAAACGAGATGGAAGCATTCTATGTAATGATTCTGAAGATTATCTCTCTGTATGAGACACAGACATCAGTGAAACATGTTGACATTTGGTGCTTGGCAAGTGTAAACCACAGGGTCTTCCAACCTCAATTAGTAGGAGTGCATGTGATAGTAGAGCCCCTACAGACACTTCGAAGGCCATTTGATGTCACCCCATGTGGAGCCTGTGGCTGAGAGAGGTGAGTTGTTGAGTCACACACTGTGGCAAGGCTGGCACTGGAAAGAACTCCGCAGCTCCTGACCCTTTCTCAGCTCCTCCTACCTTCCTAGGCTATTAGGTTTCTTTGCCATTCTCCTCTGGTACACTGACATTTTATTTTATTTTTCCAGGAATAATCGATTGGTATCTGACAAAGTGGATGATGAGCTGGGTGCCCTTCGGCTTGGTAGGTGTGAGCCCTCGGAGACTGGTTGGGCTTCCTCCTGGCTGGGGAGTATGCTTTTCTTCTACCTGACCTCAGGAAGCAGGGACAGGCCCCTGTCCTGTTGATGTCTTTTCTATGCTTGTCTTGCTGTCTTAGACAAATCCTTGGAGAAGGATTGATAATTTATGGTATCCTCTCAGAGGATCCCTTTCTCCATTTGGAGTTTCTCTTAGGACCATTTAGACCCTATGAAGATTTCCAGAGACAGTTGTAGACCATGGTATTAGCATAGCTCTGCTTAGGGAGGCCTGATATTTAAAAAAGTTTCTGAGTGTCTGGTTGAGGTATAAGATACACAGTGAAATAAGTGTGCAAGGTGAATTTACCTTCCACGTTCATGAATTGAAAGCCATTGTGTAAGTACTTTCTAAGACAAAGATACAGAACCTATCTTTCTGCTCTGGTTTTAGAGCAGTTTTCTGTCTGCACACAGTTCTCTGTTCTTGGAAAAAGAAAGTCAGAACCAACGGTGGCAGCCAAGGGATATGTGTGTGATGGGAGACTTGAGGGCTCTGAGTATTTGCTTCTCTGGAAGCCAGCCACTATCTGTTGGGCCTTCCCAGCATACAAGCATTCTCAGTTTTTCTTCCTGCTTTAAGCATTCCTTTCAAGCAGCAGGAAGAGAGTGTGCCCCCCTCAAGTAAGCGTATAGTCTCTGTGAGTGAGATGATCTCGTCTGCTTTGATCAGTATGAAAGCCGGCAGCCCTGCACAGGGAGGCAGGGCTTATTTATAATGCTTAACTAACTTCAGAGATCCAAGAGCTTCAGTCCAAATCCCCAGAAACGATGGTGGGGCCATCAGCCTTGCCCAGGAAGGGCAGGTTTCTGTACAAGGCAATGCCGAGTGAAGGATGGAGCCAGGAAGCCCTGGCATCTAAGGCCTTCTGGGAGGCACTATGCTTGAAGATTTTCCAAGGAAAGGCACTTGTTTGGACACAAAGCAAAGCAGTTCCCGGCCTTTTGAACAAGAGCGCTTCTCTTGGAAGGAAGGCTTTTAGCCATTCTCAGAAGCTAGCTGTTTGAAGTGCATCTGCACATTTTCTGCAAGAAAGCAGACCCCTCCCGGCTAGCACAGCTAGTGGTTTTTAAGAAAGGATAAGGAGATGGAGGAGAAGAGACTATGGGACCCACTCACCAAGATAGTCAATTGGAGAGAAAAAAGAGTCTCATGGGGAGAGACACAATGGCAGCTCAGAAATAAGGCATAAAATTTGGTGACACAACATTTCTTGCTTTCTCTGATCCCACCTGAAGTGAAATGCAATCACTGTGCAAGTTTTTCCTCCAAAATGCAATGGGACACAAATTCCTTGCTTCTTTCCAACCAGACATTCATGTGAGGGCCTTAAAAATAGCATTCTCAACCACTGGCATCAATGACAGTTTTGTCTGCTTGGCTAACATATTATTCTGGAGCAATGTATTTTTCCCTTGCATGAAGGCCTCTTCACCACATCTGGTCTAGAACTAGCTCCCTGCATGCAGCCAGGTCTTCCTTGTAGAAATCAACCTCTCTTGGCTGCTTGCTTCACGGAGTTCTTCATGTCTGTGTGTCATAGGCTTCAGCCTCCCTCCCTGACTCACTTCATAGGCTGGGCAAAGCATGTCACAGACCCTGTTCCTCCTGACAACATCGGACTAAACAGAAGACTCAAATAGGCTGAAATACTGCCTCCATATGCTTCCAGAGACAGTCTGTCCGCAAGCAGTAGCTCCTCAGGCCTGTTGGCATCACTTAGGGAGCTCTGCCCCATTGTCTGGGGCCTTAGATACATTTCTTCTTCCAGCCAAAACTCTCAGTGTGGACCTTTGCAAACCTGCTGTCAGACATCCTCATTTCTGTTTAGTTTCCTCTAGCTCACATCAAAGAGCAGTATCTGTGTGTGTGTGTGTGTGTGTGTGTGTGTGTGTGTGTGTGTGTGTGCCTGTTCCTACACGAAGTGTAGTGTTGTTTAGTGCACATGCATTTTTTGCTCAATATTCTGTTAAAATAGCTCAATTGATTTCTTACTCTCTCTGCCTGTGCCATGTTTTCAAGCTCCATTCATGTCACTGGGTGGACATCTGAACTCTATATTTCAGGTTATTTTTTGTAAACGCATGGATACAGTAGCATTTTTTGAAGTGTTTAGGAAATGCTCTCATTTAAATTCAACTTACTTATATTCCAGACATTTTTCCCTCTTTTTTTACAAAGGCAGAATCTACTCCTCGTTCACTGAACTGGGCCTTAGGCGTTTGCCTACGCTGTGGCTGACTCCGGCAGAGAGAAAGTGAGGTGGCAGAATAAGACACAAGCGGTGTCCTGGGGATGTTGGCCCTGCCCCTTTGCCTTGCTCTGGCTCTGGCATCTGCTGGGCTTGGCTTTATCAGCATGATGGCTGGATGTTCTTTTCCCTCAGGTCCTTCACCCATGCACTCTAGGAGATTCAGTGGCAGAAGTTGGAAGGGTAAGCAGGGACCTGAGCCAGTTGAGAAGTTGAAGGTGGTGTTTCAGAGGACTCTAGGACTGATAGAGGACCCATCCAGTCTATGGCTTTGCATTATTTCTAGCTGGAGGTCCAGGGGTGGGCAGAGTGACTAGATGACATGTAGTCAGCCCGAGGTGTATCATGCCTGTGTCACCTGACAGTTTCACTTGACAGCGGTAGTTGTACTGCTGTGGAGGTCCATGACAGAATCCAAGGCATCAGTAAATATCAGTCACAGTACTGAGAAATGGTTATGAGAAATGAAACTTAGGGGTTGGAGGTGTGGCTCAGTTGGTAGAAGGTTAGCCAGTAGGTGAAATTGGAAGGTATTGAGTTCAAGTCCCAGTCTGGGACCTAAACAAATAGAAGAAAAATGAGCCTGCTCTCCTGCCTGTTGACCTTCTGTTAAGGAACTGCTCCATGGCTTACATCTGGGGGTGTGGTTTACTCCAAATGTGGCATTTTCTAGTGCACCATCCATGATCATTCCCGGGGCACGATGAGGGGAGGGGTTATGGTAAGGAGCAAGATCCCTCTTGACCTGCAAATTTCTTTCCTTCTGGTGGAGCCCTGGTTGCTGCAGAGCAGGGACTGGGGTAGTGTAGAAGTACCTGCCCCTCATCCAAACCTTTTCCAACTTCATTGTGTTAATGACTTCCTGGTCTATTCTCTGCAAGTCATTCAGTAATCCTCTTGTTTTTGTTTTTCAGAGGACATAGAGGATGAATTGGTGAGGGAAGAAATCATTCTGTCTCCTAGCCCATCAGTGCTCAGATTACAAATAGCATCAGAGCCAATTGACCTTGCACTGGCAAAGGTAAATACAGCTCAGAAATGTAAGGAGAATGCTGTGTTAAATACATCTCAATGTGGATAAGGTCACTGTGATATTTTTGGTTCAGTATTTCTCATTGTAATCTCTTAGTCACTATAGAAATTGAGATCTGAGTGTGACTTAGAAAAAAACCTGAACTGAGGGTCAGGAAACTGTTTGAGTTCTGGCTGCTCCCTTTCCCTCTCCAGGACAAAGGGTGTTCCTCCTCACCCAGATATTGCAGAGCTTCCTCAGCACAGTGCTAATGGGCACTGCCAGCCTGCAGTGGGAGTGAGACAGTTGTCCCCAAGGCTTGGTCTGCTCCTCCCTGGGCTCCCAGACTGGCTTCAGCCAGCCACAGCAAGGGAATAATAGGGAGGATGCATTTTTTCACTACCATCTCTGTTTGCCCCTGTGGCCTCTTGGATGGGCTGTGGCCACAGGACACCGGAAGCAGGTTCCCAGCCATGACAGATTCCACAGCAGGGGGCCCTGGGATACTAGTAGGGTGAGTGGGAAAGGAGAGTGGCTCCTCAGGTGTCAGGCTGGCTGCTTTTTCCTCTTGACCTGAGAATCCTGCAAGATGGAGTGTCCTTCCTGAAGTCTTCCAGCAGCCTTTCTGCCAGGACCAGGAGGAGATGGAAGCTCTGGAGACATTTCCCATAACACAAATCAAGAAGGGCAAGATTTTTCTAGAAGGTTCCTGTTTTTTCCCCCCTTCTGCCTCTAATCTGCTTCTTGCTTTTGAAGCCACAGAGGGTCAGGCACATTTAAGAGACCCCAAAGTGAGGAGTGTGTGCTCTGGCTATCTGGCATCATAGGCTGTGGCTCTTTGCAGAGAGATTGGCTCTTGGAGGTCCCAGAGACTACCAGCAAGAGTGGTGGGGGAAATCAGTGCCCATGGAGAGAAGAGGAGAGGAGGACTGGGGCTCAGAAAATTTGAAGATTCAAAGCCCAGCCTATAGAGAGGAGAAGAGAAGATAGGAGAGGAGGGACAGGTCTCAGGGTACATGAGATCTTGACTACACTATGCTTGCTCCAGAGATGCTAGCCTGTGACTAGGAGACAGAGATGGAATTCATCCAGAAAACCAGAATCTGTATAGTTTCTTGGCTCTTAGGAGATGCATTTCAGACACCTGCATGATTATAGTTGTTACAAGAGGGAAACAGCCCAGATGGATGAGTTCACATACCCAATGTACCATCAGCTCACTTCTTTCTTTTTTGGCCAGTCCTGAGGCTTGAACTCAGGGCCTGGGTGCTGTCCCTTAGGTGTTTTGTTCAAGGCTAATCCTCTACCACTTGAGCCACAGGTTCTCTGGGGTTTTGGTGGTTAATTGGAGATGAGTGTCACAGACTTTGCTGCCTAGGCTGGCTTTAAACTGGAGTCTTGAGCATTCTGAGTAGTTAGCATTACAGATGTGAGCCACCTGTGCCAGAAAGCCATATGACATAGGACAGATGCTTCTGTTAAAGAGGTCTCTTCATATTCAAGGAAAAGAAAGAAACAGAAGAACCTACTCAAATGTAAAGTAAGAGAGTAGGCCTGGTCTGTATGAAAGGCTTGATCTAAGCAAGTCCAGGGTAGAAGCTGTCAAGTCCACCTGGTGGTCCTGAGGCTTACTTGAGGCTTCAGCGTCCCTTGGGATGTATAACCAGGACTAGGCATGCAGTCCACCATGGAGGTGCTGGTCTGAGGCCCCGTGGTGATAGTGGTGGGGGAGGTTGGTATTCCTGAGGCTTGGGGAAGGTGGGAGGTAAAAAGTCAGCTCAATATCACCTGGAAATCTGGGAAGAAAGGTGATACTGCCTTGGGAGACAGTGGGAGCCTCTCTCCAGTTGGGAGTGTTAAGGCGGGGTCGATGGGGTCACTTGGAATGTTCATGTGGAGTTCATGGGTCACTCAACAGGTGGCTTTGGAGAAGGGATTATTTTTTTTCCCTGCAGAGAACTAGAGCGTATATTTTAGACTTCGCTTTATGGTATGTGTTGCAGCTATTCACCTCTGCTAGGATGTAAAAGCACCCCTGAACAAAATGTAAACAAATGGACATTGCTGTATGCTAATAAAGGTAGAGGTTAGGATACCATCAGGTACCAGAGTACTGTTTCTTAAACCTGACTGCAAAGTGAACCACTACTGATAGTGGTGTTGGGGATTCTGACTCAGTGACTAAGCCATTGCTTAACATGTGGAGGGCCCTTGGTTTGACATGTGCTAGGGAGCAGTGCAGAAAAACAACGGAATAAAACAATACAAAAACAACAACCCTACTGATACCCAGGTCTCACCCTCAGGAATTTGGATTTATTGGCCTGGCCTGTGGCCCAAGCATCAGGATTATTTTTAAGAGCTTTCAAAGACGTTGGCCCTTGTCAGTTCAGGCTGGTCTGGTCTGCAGATGTTTCAGAGGTAAGACCCTCAAGGTCAGATTTCTCTGCCCTCAAATATGAGAAGAATGGGCCTGCAAAATAGAGAAGAGACACCCTGCCAAAAAGGGCATGGTCCCATTAGAATTCCAAACAACTCCAGCGGGTTATGCCCATGAGAAAACAGTCAGTAAGACTCTTTCTTTCCACAGGAAGTCAAGACCCTTCTGTTTGGTTCTGCTTTTTGCTGTTTCAATGAAGAGTGGAAGCTTCAGAGTTTTTCCTTTAACGACAGTGACTCACTAAAATACGGCATTGTGCAGAACAAGGCAGGTGACTCTGGAGGCCTCTGAGGGCCTTCTGCCAGGCTGTTGTGCATACTGGGGCATGTCCCTTTTGTGATAAACAAGTCAAGCATCTGTGGAGCTGCCTAGGGCTGTCCTATGTCTTCTGAGGGTCTGCTTAGGGTCTTCATGAAGGGTGAGAAGTGGAGATAGTGACTTCATACGGGGTGAGGGATGGAGATGGCTTATCAGCCCTGTGCTCAGTCCTGTGAAGCCTACAGAGAGGAGCCCTTCAAGCCTCCTTCCTGATACTGGGAAGGAAGGGATACAGACATCTGGTAGCATCCTGAGGTGACCCACAGCCTGGGCCAGATCAAGAGGGAAAGTGTTCTCTGTGCTCCAGAAAAATCTCCATGCCTACCCCCACACAATCAGAAGCTACAGGAGAGTGGGAGAGCTCTTCCTAGAGGAGGAGGCTTTTAGGGTTAGACAATCACCACCCTTAGCCTGTGTACCCTGAAACATTTCCCTTGGGTGATGGAAAACTTGTGACACCTCCAGCTTTAATCCCATGATGAATTGCAGACTGACTTGTTATGTTTCAGGGACAGAATCCGGTGGTCAGAGAACCTTGTGGGTGAGGGAGCAGAGCAGTGGGACCCTGTTCTGTGATCTGGGGCTGGAGGTGGCCCAGACTGTGTGCATTCCTGGTGACATGTGTTGTCTTCTGCAGGGTGGCCCCTGTGGGGTGTTGGCTGCTGTCCAAAGCTGTGTGCTACAAAAACTCCTGTTTGAAGGAGAGAGCGGAGCCACTCGCCCTCGGTAAGTCTTCCTTTCCAAGGGTTATCCAGAGCGGCCAGAACAAACAAGCAAGGAAATGTGCACGTTCCTTTTACTTCCTGTCTCCTGAGGTCAAGAAAGGAAAGGGTCATGCAGCAGGCCTGTTACATGGACGATGAGACAGGCGTGTGTCTGTAGGAGCCAAGAGAGCTGGTAAGCACTGCTCCAGTTGGCACACAGCTACTGCACAGCACCATAATGGAACTCACTGCTGCTGCTTTAGAAAGCACCAAGCAGCTTATTGTCCTTTCCCCACCCGCGTCTACCTGTTGCCCTTTGACAAAGTCCAGAGCCTCCTGCCTCTCCATTATCTCCCCTCTGCCAGCAGCCAGAACCACACATTCCAGCTGGCCCAACAGCACATAGCTTCCTCCCCTGCAGCCACGTATTTTCCATCTCTCGTTTTGTTTGTACCTGGGCACCCATGTGCATTTGCATGTGTTCAGCCTACATTCCTGGAACTCTTCTGTACAGGAACAGGGTTGTGGGGAACTAGACCATTCTTTCCTCCCCAGAGGCACTCAGTGAGATTGAGGCACTGTAGAAAACACTGATTGCACATCATAGCTGGTGCCAAGGGAAGAGTGAGGAGGCGCCCGAGTGTGGCCTCCCCAAGAGGGCAGACTGCTTACCTTGTTGCTCAAGGGCCCAACGACTAGCCTGGCTCACATTGTCCTCAGAACTACACAAAATTTTTTTTTTTGGGTCTGATCTTGGGGCGCCTGGGCACTGTCCCTCAGCTCTTCAGCTCAAGGCTAGCGTAGGTACCACTTGAGCCATAGCACCACTTCAGGCTTTTTTCTTTTTGCTTATGTGGTGCTGAGGAATCGAACCCAGGGCCTCATGCATGCAAGGCAAGCGCTGTACCACTGAGCCACCTTCCCAGCCCAAGCTACACAAATTTTGCGTTTGTACTTTTCTTTTTAGTTGGAAAACAACAAAATCACCTATAAACAATCACCCAGACTGAGAATAAATATGAGCAGGACCCCAAAAGAACTTGTTTCTGCTCAGTAGATGCCCTTTTCCCCTTTGCAGAGTTACACTTCAAGGGTCCTAAAGGCAGTCTAGTTTTTTAGTTCCTGGGCTTTATTGAAAGTCACTTTTTTTTTTGAAGTGAGCATTTCAGAGCCTTTAAGACTTGTGTTGTCAAGACGACGACGACGACAGAACCCATCTGTCCATCTATCTGCCCATTCATCCTATCATGTTCAAAAACCTGGAGACACTGTCCCAGAGTTTGCGGCAATCAGACAAAGCATGTTTGCTCACCATTTTAGTTATACCCATGAGAAGGTAGCTTCTTTCATATGTTTTCCAGGTAATTTTAGAAGATAATTCTTTTCTTCTTTATTCTCAAAGATGCTACTCATGTCATGACAACACATGCCATTTCCATTGCAGTCTGACCTGTCCTCATCTCTCTGCTCCCTTACTGCCTGCAAGCTTGGCTCAGCAAAATGCTCTAGGAAGTTTGAATCTAATGTTTTGATTCCTTCCTTCTTTTGTTTCTTTCTTTTTTTCTTTCCTTCCTTCTTTTTGGCAATCCTGGAGCTTGAACTCAGGGCCTGGGCACTTTTTTCTGAGTCTGTCTGTACTCAAGGCTAGCACTCTACCACTTGAGCCACAGTTCTACTTCTGGCTTTTTCTGTTTATGTGGTACTGAGGAATGGTACCCAGGGCTTCATGCATGCTAGGCAAGCACTGTACCACTAAGCCATATTCCCAGCCCAGTGTTTTGATTTCTAATGAGGCCAAAATGGGCCTCTGTGACCAGGATTCCCCTTGCAGGATGGCGTAGAGACTGAGCACTTTTTTTGTTTTTGGTCGTGGGGCTTGAACTCTGGGCCTGGATGCTGCCCCTCAGCTCTTTAGCTCAAGGTGAGCGCTCTACCACTTGAGCCACAGTGCCACTTCTGGCTTTTTCTGCTTATGTTGTGCTGAGGTATCAAACCCAGGGCCTCATGCATGCAAGGCAAGCACTCTACCACTGAGCCATCTTCCCAGCCCTGGGACTGAGCAGTGTGTACTCAGCAAGATGACAGGGCTGATATAAACAGGTAACCTTCTTGTCCTTGCTCCTAAGATTGAATAGAAGAACCAGGTAAGTGGGCAGGTGATGACAGGGGACATGTGGGCTGCTGAGGGTTCAACTTACCTTCCTACAGGGGAAGTTCTGATCCTACCTGCAGGGGGAACCATGCCCCTGGAACTCTTCATACACACTCACACACTCTTGTTCCCCCTCAGTTTTTCCCTCTTGCTAAGGCCCACAGGCCTATATGCTCAGATGTGATGCCCATTGGCCCCTTTCATTGCTCATCTTTTTTTTTTGTTGGTGTGGGGTTTGAACTAGGGCCTGGGCGCTGCACTTCAGCTCAAGGCAAACATTCTACCACTTGAGCCACAGTACCACTTCCAGTTTTCTGGTAGTTTTTTATTGGAGATAAGAGCCTCACAGACGTTCCTGCCCAGGCTGGTTTTGAACTGCGATCCTCAGACCTCAGCCTCCTGAGTAGCTAGGATTACAGGCGTGAGCCACTGGTCCCCAGCTTCATTGTCCATCTTTATGCAGGCTTTCCCAGGTCTCCTACTTCTAAGGTTTCCATCTCTGATTGGTGCTCTTGTTTGTCAGAGTAGCTACTGGTCCATGCTTGCCTTAGTTCTCTGGAGTCTGAGAACTGGAGTTTCTTAGTCTATGCTTGCCTTGCTTCTCCTGACAGAACACAGACACTGTGAGAATAGGACTTTCTTGGTCCATGCTTGCCTCGCTTCTGACAGAACACAAACCCTGTGAGAATAGGAGTTTCTTTGTGCTTGCCTCGCTTCTTCAGACCCTGTGAGAACTGGAGTTTCTTGGGCTGCCTCTTCCACAAAGGACTTTGGGATTTTTGTTGAATGAGCGAATCAAGAAATGAATGAATTGTGTGGACAAATAGGGAGGGGAGGCAGTAAAGTGAACAAGATCTTCAAAGTCTCCAGGGAAGGGGGAAGAGCCAAGCTTTGCTTGGGGTCAGGGGGTCAGTGTAGTATTTGGAGGGGCAGGGGTTGGGTGGGGTCTGGCTGCAGAGAGGGCTGCTGGGCTGTTGGGACCACCCGCTGTTAGAGCAAGCCTTGACTCTGGCCCATGTGAAAGATGTCTCATGACTCATTTCAGCCTGAAGCCCTTTCTGAGTTGCTTTTGAAATTCAGCTTTGGACTTTTAGGGGAAGTTGGATGGCTTCTCATCCACAGGATGTAGGGCTTAAGTTGGTTCCTGCCTAAGACACAAGCCTGACTTGCTTGCTTGTGGCCCACCACCCAAGTCCAGTAAGGGTTGTAAGAGCTTTCCCATCCCTGCCATGTCTCTTAGGGGATATAGAGAGGGGACTAAGACTTGTATTGGAAGACAGAGGTCTCTCCAGGTTGAGTAGAAGGAACTTCTTCCCTAGTTGTGAGAGCTGTGTTCTCTCCCATTGCTGGCTTGCTGGGTGCTTGCCACAAAAGCAAGCACTGACAAGGCCTACTGGGCACCTGCTATACATCAGGTCCACCATAGCTCTGTGGTCAGTGGGGTAGAAACCAAGATGCCAGAGCTGCTTCATCTGTGCTTGGAGGCCTTTAGGCTGAGCTGGCTGTGGCCTAGGTATGCATAGGTGAAGAGGATGGAATGCTGCTGGGTTACCTGATATGTGAAAGTTGTGTCTTGTGGGGATTTTGTTCTTTGTGGGAGTTTTGTTATTGTGGAGGTTATTATATGTGGGGATTGTATTGTGGAGGGGTCTATTGCATGTGTGTGGGGTAACTTTATAAAGGTATTGGTGTATAGAGATTTATGTTTTGTGTGGATTTTGTGTGCTGTGTGGAGTTGTGTTGTTTTGTGGGGTTGCATAGTGTGTAGGTTGTGCCATGTTTGAGTTATTGTATGTAGGGAATGTTATATTGGGCTTGTGTTGTATTAGGGTGTGTTACTTTGTCTTTATGAGTTATATTATGTGTATGTTGTGTTGTGGGATTGTGTATGTGGGGGATTGTAAAGTTGTGAAGAGATTGTTTTGTGTAATGGGGTAGTGTGTGGATTTGTATTGTGTGAGTTGTGTTGTGGAAGTTGGTGTATGTTGGGTAAGTTTTGCTGTGTATGGGTTTTGTTGTGTAACGATGTATTATGTTGTGTGGAATTGTGTTGTGTGGAGGTTGAGTTATGTGTGGGTGTGTTGTGTGGGGGAAGTATGTAGAGAGTGTTGTGTAGAGGTTGTGTTGTATGTGGTTGTATTGTGGAGGTTGTATATAGGATTTTGTTGTATAGAGTGGTGTCATATATGGGTTGTGTTTGTGTTGTGTGGTTTATGTTTTGAGGTGGTCCTGTATGGTTGTATTGGATGTGTTGTAGGAAGGAGCTGGCTTGGTGGGCCACTGCCTTGGCTTTAGTGGGCCAATTGGTCTTCTGAAATGAGGCCTAGTTGGACACCGGATGTAGAAACAGGGCCTGGACAGATATCAGATGTAGAGATGGGGCCTGGATGGATACCGGAAGGTGGTTTCCCCTCCACCAGAGCCCTGTGCTCTGGGTGCTGCTGTAGTCCTTCTACCTCTCACCTCTGCTGTTTTCAGGCCACTCACATGATGCTCTGCCACACAGCCAGGGCCTGAGAGGATAGGCTTGTACCCAGGAAGAGGTTTGAGAGGTTGGCTCAGCTGCCAGCTTTCTGACAAAGCCTGGAGGAGTCAGGAAGAGGTGGCAGAGAGCAGCTGAGGAAATCTAGAGACCATCTTTCTTATATGGTCAGAACTCTCCCCTAGTAACCTTAAATTAGAAAGTACAAATAGCCGCTGAAAAGCAAAGGCTTGTGCCAGTGAGCAGGACCATTGAACTTTTTCACTGTGGTGTAGAGGAAGAAACTGAGGTTCAGAGAGGGAGAAGTGCTAGCTCAGAGTTAGACCAGGACCATGGTAGAACTGAGATTGGTGAGTGGCACTCACGTGGTGCAGAGTGCTACTGTGCCTCAGAAGCAGTGCGGGGCCAGAGTAGGCAGGAGGGCCGAGAGCTGAGTTTGGAAGAGCTGATTGTTGGCTCCTTCCAGGCTCTGTTTTTGAAGCACAGATGATAAGAGTGGACATAGGAGCCCTCACTTTTCTGGGTGATGTTATTGGCTGAATCTGGGCCTCAGTCAGCTTCCACTGACCGCAGTTACCACCTTTACAGAGGTTGACAGTTCACAGTATTCCTGCTCAGGAACAGTGTTCCTGTGTGCCAGGCTGGCTTGAGGGATCATGCTCCCTTTTGACTAAAATCCCAGGATATCAGAAATGGTCCAGCTTTAGAGAAAGAAGGGTGGGCAGGCAGGCTTCTCTGTTGTCTCTGGAAACATCAGGATGCTTTGCCAGATAAAGAAGGTGCAAATATTACACACCTGAAACTGATGACTTACAGAGCCCTGTCCTTTGCTTCCTGTTTGATTCTGCAGATTGGTGACAGGAATATGGTTGTGAGAGGATTGTAGAGGGGGATGGCATCCTTGGGGGAAGCTATGCAGAAATAAAGGCTACTTGGCAGGGCTGGTGTTTTTTCCTAGTGACTGTCTGGCCTCATTAAACCTCAGCCCATCAGGCTAGCAGTCGGCTTCCCACCCTCTCCTTAGTCAGCTACACAGAACCAGGCAGCAGGACTGGGGTTTTTCCACTGGAGAAAGAGAGATAAGACTTACTCCATTCTCTACCTACCTGCCCTCCCATCCCACAAGAATCTAGACCAAGGAGGGGCCTTGGAAGGCCGGTGTGAATGGGAGATTCAGTGATGTCACCCTGTGAGTCCTCCTCCCTTCTGAAATCCTAGAGATCGAGACCAAGAGGAGGAGGGGCACTTTGCCTAGATCACTCTGGATTTGGGGGCAGAACAAGGCTTGGAGCCCAGGTCCTGAAGCCCCAGGCCACTGTCCTCCTGCTCCTCCCTCCAGAGACTCAACCCAGACAGCAGGCAAGCAGAGTGGAGAGGGCCATGGCCTATCCATACCTACCAGCTTTCTCAGAACTTTTATAGACTCATGGGCATGTCCAAGTGGATGCCAGGCAGAGTTGAGGCCCTTAGGGTAGAAATATCTCTGTTCTTAAACACTTGGGCAAGTGTATTATGAATAATTTCCCCATCTACCTCTCCCTAGACAAATGCTTTCACCCTGCCCTTCTGAGAGGAACTGGACTCTTGAAGACACTTCTGGTGAAAGAGCCTGGCCAGGTGCCAGATTCCTGGTAGGAGTGTGGTAGTCATGTGTCTGAGTTGCTGAGGGTTGCACAAGGGTTGCCTCTGAGTGAAGATCGTGTCCAGGTGATGTAGGCAGACACAAGTGACTCCTTCCTGTGTCGTTCCTGCAGGGCAAGCACTCAGGCACATACATTCAGTCTGACAACTTTAGGCAGGCTAAACGCCAGAACATAAGGGTGAAGTATGTTGGAGGAATGAAGGCCAGGTAGGAGTTGGGAATGTGATGCCTGAGAACTAGGAGTAAACCCTGGGGCTCCTGACTGTCTAGATACTGCACTTTCCCAGCCCCACCGTGCTGTCTAGAAAACCATGTCTTAAATTGCCATGGCCCAGATGGAGAAGGCTGGAGGGCAGCAGGGAAGGCTGGAGAAGCTATGAAACAGATGGACAGAACAAGGACTTTGTAGACATAGGCAGGTTCAGAGGATCATAGACAGAACCTATAGAGTTGAAGATAGCTTGTACCAGGAGCAACATCTCTTGGTTGTATTACATGGTGCTAGCGAGACAAGTCTAAGATCAAAGGGACATTCGTTCTCAAGATCAAATGCCTGAGAATAGAGCTCAGAGGTAGACTGCATGTCTAGTGTACACAAGGCCTTGGCTTTGGTCTTTAGCATAGAATGAAACAAAACCAAGATCTTAGGACATTGGGTATACTATGTAGTGGGAGGCTGTCTGTCCTGGTAAACCAGTGCCCTCTAGGACCAGGCTCAGGAAGGTGGGTGTGAGACTCAGGATGTGCAATTAGCAGGATGCAGCAGACCTTGGGGGAGAGTAGGGAATGGCACCAGAGCTGTGCAGACAGAATGGAGTCCATACTTTGGGTTCTGCATCCAGAGATAAATGTCCAGGCCTCTTTCCTCTGCCTGACAAGTTCTGCTGTTCAGACCAGGCTTGTCCTTGATGCAGCCTCTCCTGAAACCAAGAGCAGTGTTTTCTCAGTGTTCTTTTCTAGTTAGTTGTGACCTGGACCAGTGCTCTGGCAACTTGGGCTCTGCTTCGATGACACTGAGGTCACCATTTCCTGCAAGGAGCACCATAGGCTTCTGAGCTTGGAACAGCAGCAGGTGGTGGCTGCATTATGTTCCTGTGCACTGAATGTGTGCTGCATTCCTATGTCCTGAGTGCCTGCTCAGTTATGTGCCTGCTTGGTTATGTTCTTGTGTGTAGAGTGCTTGCTGCTAGTTTATGTCTCTGCACACCAAGAGCTTACTGCTGTGCTATGCCCCTGCATGTTATTTGCCACTGGGTTATGTTCCTGTGTGCTGAGTTCTTGCTGCTGGGGCATGTTCCTGCCTAATGCATGATGCTTGGTTTTGTTCCTGTACACTGAGTACCTGTAGGGCTATGTTCCTGGTACTGTCTGCTACAAGGTTATTTTCTCACATACTGAGTGCCTGATGCAGGGTTATCTTCCCATGCTGAGTACCTGCTGGTACTGAGTGTTAGCTGTTGGGTTATATTCCTGTGTACTGAATGCTTGCTGCTGGGTTATATTCCTGTGTACTGAATACTTGCTGCTGGGTTATATTCCTGTGTACTGAAAGCTTGCTTCTGGGTTATATCCCTGTGTAATGAGTGCTTGCTGCTTAGTTATTCTCCCAAGTGTTTGCTTTTGGTTTTTTTTTTCCCTGCTAGGCTCATTGAAGCTGCAGGGCCAGTGGCAACCCCCTGCTCTGCGGCTCAGCCCGAGTATGGGGATGGGGGAGCTGAGGTTGTCACAGACAGGATAGGAACAAGCACCAGGTCCCTGGCAGGTGCCGTTTGCTTAAGGGGCCAGCACTCTGAGCAGCGGCATGTCCGGCAGGTGCCATCTGTGTAAGGTTCCAGTGCTGTGAGCCATGGCTCATTAGGCCAGTTTTTCCATGGGAAGAATGAGAGGCTGCTGTGTCCTGTCACTCTCATTTTTAAAGTGAAGGCCTACAACATCCTGCCTGCAGGTCCCTGGCCCTGCATCCTGGCCCTGGGCAGTCATTGCCCACCATGGTGGCTTTAGCTAGTCTCTTGGTTTTCTTCTGTCCCAGGGCAAGGGGCAAATTCTGGTATTCTCTGCCATCTGTACCTTAGTGTGAAGTTCAGGCATTTTGGTGACTGAGAACTTGGAACTCTCTGTTTACGTGTGCTGCTCAGTGGGGTCCCCCCCAGGCCTTTTTTTCTGGTTAGGAAACCATCCACTGAAGTGGCTTCTGCAAGAACTTCAGAGCCCCGGGCAAGGCATGAAGCACAGCTCCGAGAGCCTGGAAATGCCAAATGGAAAGAAATGGCTATATTTGGCTGTTGCTCTTCCTCCCTCATTCTCCACACACCAGGAACCTCTTAGTCACATTTTTATTGCAGGAGCCTCAGCCCCTTTGGTATTGGCTGCCCATGCTGCCTGAACCTCTTTCCTAGGCTGTGCCCATCACTCTCTGTCCATCCATCTCTGACCCTTCTCCCCACCACCCCATGGTGGCTTATAGTTCCCCTGACCCTCCTTACCTTCTCTGGGAAATCTGCCCGCCCTCCACCCTTCTCCTGCCTTTTTACGCCCTTCTTCCTAGGAGTCTTAGGGTCTCCTTAAGATTGGTGAGTCAGAGGCTAGCTGGATCTCCACCCTAACTGTCGCACAGCCTTACTCTCCATAGTTCAGTTACAGCCATAGTGTCATTCTTGATAGTGTCCTCCCTTCACCCCAACCCCTTGTTTAAGAATCGGCCTGTTAGGCTTGGCACATGGTTCCCTTGGAACCGTGGCCTCATCTCCTGTTGTATGCAAGTGTGGAGCACTTGTTGGTCTCTAGGGCCAGGGAGTTGGGATGGCCAAAGCTGGGGCAGGGAAGTGCCTCACATCTGCCTGAAGTGGCAGCTGCTCCAGGGCATGCCTAGTGGCTCTCCTGGCCTCTGTCAGCACATGGCCCTTTCTGAGCATACTTCTGGCCCTGCCAAGCCCCTGGGGCCCCTTGGCTCCAGTGGGCTGTTTCCTGAGCCTTCATCTTCTCTAGCCTCTTTACCCTTGGTCCATCTGAAGGCTGTTCCCTTGGTCCAGGTCTGCAGAGGACCTTCATCATAAGGCCAGGCTCCACTTGGAGTCCCTGGGCTACAAGTGACCTCAGGGAGAGGGGAGCCCTTGGAAGTGCAAGAGCTGTGTCTAGGCTCTTGCCTGGGAGCATAAGCACATTCCATTTCTTGTCTTCAGGCTGCTGCAGCCTTCAGATGCCCAGAGGACACGCTGCCTCACCCTGGCCATCGCAGACATCCTGTGGCGGGCTGGGGGCCACCAGCGAGCCGTGGTCACATTGTGAGTAGATTCAAGGGCTGCCCAGTTTATGCTGGTACAGCTACAGGCCACCCTGCTGTGGGCATCCCAGCCTCAGTGGGAGGACTATATGCTGGGCATCCTGCCTTGGTAAGGGGCCAGGGAGGCCCCCCATGACTCTTCTCTGAGGAAGCCAGTGAACTCCATAGCTGGTTGCCCTGTGTATGTTCCCAATCCCTAGGCCCTGGAAAACAGCCCCTCAGCGTGGCCCTATTTGTGTCACCATTCCCAGTCCCTGGTGAGGGATATGCTGGAGCCCCCTCACATCTCGTTTCCTGGAGGAAGAGTCTGAAATGGAGCCCAGGCCTGGACCCTTGGGCCCTGATCCTGTCCTGACCCTGTCCTGTCCTCCACAGTCTGCAGGGGTGAGCTTGCTGTCCTTTGGCCTGGCTTCTCAGAGTACACAAGTCACTTTGTCCCAGCTAGGAAGCTAAGCTTTCATAGAGGAGGTACCTTGGGATCCACGGACCACGTACTGGTTTAGGGACTTAAGAGAAGGGACTCCCAGAGACAGACTCTCAGAGCTGTAGTTGACTAGCCCTGTGACCTTGGGCATGTGCCAAGATCTACCTCTATGCCTCATCTGTTTACTTGTTAGAAGAGGATGATAGCCATGAGTATTTTATCGGATGGTTGTGAGAACTAAGTAAGTCAGTATAAATAAATGATACCTGTAATATATATAATGTTATTAGGTTGAGTCCTTTGTCGGTATAGATGAATGATAAATAATAAATGTGGAGTTCCTAGGGCAGTGCATTATGACTGTGACTGCCACAGTCATTCCTGTTGTTACTGCTGTCTGTGCAGTCTCTCCTATTGTAACTGCTTACCTGTCTTCACAGTCTCTCCTGTTGTTGCTACTATCTGTCTGCACAGCCACTCCTGTTGTTACTGCTTACCTGTTTCTATTGCTCAGGCCTAGGTAGCTTGTGACCCTTGACCCTGAAGAGGGATGTGACAGCACTCAGGGAAGAAAGAGTAGGGCTAGATTTCTCCCTATTGTAGAGATTAAGAAACAGAAGCACAGAGAAGGGAAGGTAGCAGGCCTCACAGCTGCTGCTGGCACATAGCCCCATACTCAAATCCTATGCTGAGTTGGTGCTGGTCACCCAGTTGGTTGCTTGATGGTCCCAGTGGGGAGGCATTAGAGAGACCAGGGCACAATTTCCTACCCAGGGACAGCAGTGGGACAGCTGCCGCCTTAGTGTTCGTGTTGGGAGTGCCAGGCAGACTTCCTCCTGGCAGGCATAGGCTTGCATACTTACTCCAAGTTCACCCTCTGTCTCTTTTTCCACTCATTTTTTTTCTTTTCCTGCTGGCGATTTCTCTGGGCCAGGCTAGTGGGTAAGTTCAAAGCAGGGAAAAGGAGAAGTCTGGCCAGTTCTTTCCATGGGAGCCACCTTCTCATTTGTCCTTGCATAATTACACAGCCAGACACAGCCACAGTGGCCTCCCAGGCTGAAAGCTGGGTAGACTGTAGGCCTGGCAGGCAGGAAACTTTGCAAGTGGGAGGCTGGTATTCCTCTTAACCAGGACTTACACACCTTCTTTTCCTTTTTAGGGCTTCAGGAACACAGCAGTTCAGTCCAATGGGAAAATACAAAGCAGATGGAGTCTTAGAAACAGTACGGCTTTCTGGAAATTATCACTCAACTTTTGGCTTTGTTTGGGGACTGTCTTCTTTCCTGTCCAGCTGGGTCTGGACAGGCCTCCATCCAGTGTAGCCCAGGCTGCACAGACTCCTGTGAGGGATTGGGGTGGGCAAAGGTAGTAAGCTGTGAGGATGGACTCCAGCTATGTCCCCACAGCCTCAGTGGCCCCCAGGGTGCCCCCCTCTGACCCCACAGCTGCTCATAGTGCATCAGCTGGGCCTGGCCTTCTCACTGTCTTCCTATGGCTTGAGCATCTTTAGGGTTCTTCCAGGATGGTGAGGTAGATGGCTCTGGGAGGAGAGGAAGTTAGGAGTGGGGAAGGGCAGGGAGTGAGGAGCACCAGCCACAAGGCTAGATGCAAGTGGAGCAAGGGGAGGAGAGAACAAGCTCGTCCTTCTGTTTTGTAAACATCAGCACAATGAAAAATCTTAAAACTTGCCACCTCTTCACTGAGAATTTTTGTTTTAACCAGTTGGTTTCATTTGACCTTGCTGGGACATAGGTAGCCCTGGGCCCTCATGCAGGGCTTCACTTTGTTGGATATTTTCTTTTCCTTGACCTGCTGGAGCAGGCCATGGGTGGGGTAGGAGGGCTACAGCTTCTGTTTCTCCTGGATTCAGGACCAGCCCAGGTTCTCCTGGCCCTGTTTCCCTGTCTCAGGAAGGTCCTGTGCCTTAGTCCCAACATGTGGGAATCCTGGGGACTCCAAGGGAAGTCAGGGCTGCTTGGAGCTGACGGGCCTGGAGTCACAGAAGCTTAGGTATGGTGATGCCAGCTCTGTAGGAAACCACTCTTCTCAGGGACTTGAGGGTTTTGCAGTGTTAATTCTAGGGCCTGAAGACAGACTCTGGATGAGGCGAACAGCTCACCCTTGTATCTTCCCTCAGCTCATGCTCCATAGTTTGACCTGCTTTGAAGATCTGGTGACTTTTCTTCAACACAGCATTCAGCAGGTATGAGCAACTGCTTGTTTTCATGATGTCATTAAGCCTTCTCACTTCCTTGTGGAAGGGCCTGCTGGACCCTGATGCTGGAGCCAAAAACAATGGGGCTATGTGGGCTGGAGAAATGTGGACCAGGGTATACCATGCAGCCTCTGCAGCAGCTTTGCCTGGAGCAGTCCCCCATTGGACTGTGAGAACCTGCCTGGAAAGGGAGCTGGGCCTATAAAAGGAGCAGGGCCTGGGAAGGGAATGAGACCTGGGAAAAGAGTGGGGCCTGAAAAGGGAGTCAGACCTGGGAAGGAAGCCAGGCCTGGGACCAGAACAGGGCCTGGAAAGGGAAAGAGCGCAAGACAAGGCCGCAGGGCTCTTTGTCTGACCGAGCAGGTCCAATTCCATATCAGATGAAGAGGTTGGCAGTTGCCAACTAGTGCTTATGGGACCTTGTGTGGCACAACCATGTGCCAGTGTCCTGAGGAGGCAGGGCTGTCCCAGGCAAGGACCCTGCGGGGGCCCAGTCTACCCAGGGAGCCCATATAGTCAACACTGGCTGAGAGACTGGCTCTAACCGGATGACCTTAGGGCTGTCAGATCGGTTAGAATCCTCTATGGAGGGGGTCCACAGCTTCTGGAGCCTGTCAACCTGGATTGTGTCCAGGTTATACCTCTGAGTAACTTTGCAGCCTCAGATAGCACCCTGAACCCCTCTGCACCTCAGTTTCCTCATCTGTCAGACATGGGTGGTAATAGCTGGGCCTGTTGCAGGATACCATCCAAGGCCCGAGCACCTGGACAGAGCAGTGTCCTTGTTATTGTCCACATTTGTTGGTGTTATCATGGTCCCAGGGCCACCTTGGAAGGGCTTGTTGTAGATGTATGAAAAAAGACATTGTGGAGTACAAATGCAGCATGGGCCAAGGCCAGAAGACCCCCAAACTCCAAGACCCCCAACTACAATCCAGGAAGAGGAGACCCCGACCTCTAAGACCACTAACTACAGTTCAGGGACAGGAGATCCTGATCTCAGATACCCCCAACTACAATCCATGGAGAGGAGACCTTCATCTCTGAGGCCAAGTCCAGGGACAGGAGAGCCCAACCTCCAACATCCCCAACTGTAGTCCAGGGACCCTGATTCTAGATATCTATGAGTACATTCCAGGGACAGGACCCCCCAATCTCTGAGATCCCCAACTACTGACCTCACAGCCCTGATACCCACTGTTAGACCATCCCCAGCCTTCTCCTGCCTTTACTCAGTTCTCTGGCTGTGAGATCTGTTCTGTTAGACCCAGAGAAGACAGAGGTTTGTTTTTGTGTGTTGTGTGTATGAGAGAGAGACAGACAGACAGACATGTACCTGAGCAGGGAGACTTTGCTGATACTATCCCCAGAACGTAAGAGGTCTGGCCCAGCCTGGAATGCAGCAGGCCCGCTAGTACTAGATGTCCTTGGCAGAAAGAGGGCTGCCCTGGCAGCAGGAAGAGGGGTCCCCATGAAGTCATTTGACACCAGTGCTGAGACCTCTCATACTAGTAGCCCAAGAAGCAGACCCAGAGCCTGCACATGAACCCAGATTTGGGCCTTTCTGTGTGGTATGGGGGAGAAATAGGTTGGGTGTGCCTTCTTCTGCAGGAATCTAGGCCCTGGGCTGCTGTCACCTGCTGCTTGCCTAGGCTCCTTTGGATTCTGGGAATAAGGCAGAGGGCTGAATGCCAGTTCAGTACATTCCCTGCCCTCCAGAGTAGTGAGAGACCAGGCATGAGGGCTGTGAGCTCCCGGCTGCTGCCTGGTCACAACCAGCCTTGGGAAAGTCCTGGCTCCTGTTTCCTTAACTGAAAATGGAAGAAAGCACAGTTGCCAGATCTAGTGGTGGATCACAAGGAACCTAAATGCTGCAGGAGATCTTTTCTGCACACAGCTCTTAGAGTTGCTGGATAAACCTGTTAAATGCAGTGTTGTGAGGCTGCATCAGCATCCCCAGGGCTGCTCCCAGCCTGATGACCTCAGCATTTGAGTAGCCTGGATGGAGGGTGGGATGAATATGGAGCTGCCCAGCCAGAAGAGAAGTGACCAATGAGGCTCCTGTGATAGAAGGACCCCAAATGAGCACTCAGTAAGTAGGTCCTAGCTCTGTAGATTGATCACTGCCTCTGGTGAGGGGCCAGCCCTCAGTACTAGGCCTCCAGACCCACAGGTAGGGTCTCACCTGTGTGTCTGGCCAAGAGAGGGGTTTAGTGTTTGGGTGCTAGCGGCAGGCCCCTCCTTCATGTGGCTGCTACACCCCCGGCAGGCTCCTCCCTGGCCCAGCCCGTGCTACACTGGGCCAGCCAGTCCCTGGCCCTTGTCCCTCTGGACAGTAATGCTCCCCACAGCTTAGTTTATGTTTTTGCTGGACACAACTGAGCTGTCTCAGCACTGGGCTCACCAAGTCCATTTTTATGGGTTGGCCTAAGAGGAGCTCCCCTTGCCAGGCCTGGAAATGTACACCAAGCCATCTCTTCCCAAAACAAATAGACTCCTTGCTTGCATTTCATTACCATCCACCCCCAGCAAGGTGTCTGTTGGTCCAGGTTAGCTCAGGTACCCCACCCTGCCTCCCATTGGAGCCCCACGGTGGGCCCAGGTCTCTCTATGGCCACAGCTCTGTGTGGGGAGAATGGCCCCTTTTTCCCGAGTGGCACCAGACATTGTTCTGGCCCCAGCTGTGGTTTCCGGCCCTGCCTTCTGCCAGGCTTGCCTCTTAAGCCGGCCTGTTGCCCTGTGGCCTCCCATGTCTTGGCAGCTAGATTTTGATGAGATAATTTTAATAGATGTTTTTAGAAGCAAGATGGAATACTGGTACCAGTCAGTTGTATTCTGATGGGCAAGGAGGCCAAACAGGGGCCAATTCCCTGCCCTGTGCTGGGAGCCAGCCTGAGTACTGGCTCATCTTGGGGTGGTCCAAGGACTGGAGTGACAGCAACAGCCCCCACCTACGCAGGATCTTGGGCCCACTGTGTCATTGCCATTCTTGTGTCTGACTGTTACACAGGCAAGGCAGTGCCTTAGGGAAGATCCTCTTGACACCAGAATTTTAGTCAGTAGGCTTTGTTATTTTATGACTGATTAACTGACTAATTAAATTACTGGACGAAATAGAGATTATATTTCAAGAAAGAGATATTTTTGTCAAAAACTTGTGCTATAATCATTACCAAACAATACAGTATTTGGTTCTGAGTTTCCTGGCAGCCAGTGCAAAAATGGAAATATGATAAATTGTATAATTTTTATTGGCTGTGGTAAAAGAAACAAGAATCCCCCCCCCTTTCAGCATTTTTAAACACATTTCATACTGATATACAGCTGTAGGACAGGTATAAGAGGTGGCAAGAAGTGACTCCCCAGGGAACATGGTCTGTCATAGCTGGTTGTGACTCCTGGACTTGCTGAACAGTTGGGCAATGCAGACCCAGAATCATACTAACAGAATTGGTCCAGCCTTGGTCTTTCCCTCTCTTCCTTCTAGTTCTGCCTAATCCTAGCTACTTAGGAGCCCAAGATCTGAGAATTGAAGTTCAAAATCAGCCTGGCAGGAAAGTCTGTGAGACTCTTTATCTCCAATTAACCATCCAAAAAGAAAAAAAAGCTGGAATTGGAACCTTGAACAAAAGCAACAACAATACCCCCAAAACAAACTCCAGGGATAGCACTCAGGCCACAAAACAAAAATCCACGATGAACAAAATACCAAACCTTTGATGTTCAAAAATACAACAATTTACCCAAAAAGCCACATTTTGATCTACCTCCCTCACCTTCCTAGCAACCCTTCCCCCTTCTCCCCCCCACCCCCATTACTGCTGAGAACAGTATAATGCCACATGAGGAGCTGGCATTGGGGTGGCCCCAGCTTCCTGTGGAGTGTTCAGAAGCTGTGTAACTTCAGGCAGGTTACCTTGTCTCAGCCTCAGTGGCTGACTAAGGGTGATGAACAGTGCTTACCCCCAGTCTTGGCCCCCTTATAGAGCTCTCAATTAACTCCTGTGGCCTTCAGGGTCTCAAGGTCATGGGCGGCCTCCATGGTGGCCTGTGTGTCACTTGTGCCCTGTCCCTATTGTTCCTGAGCCTGGGGTACCACTGTCCTTCAGAGGGGCTGGCTGATGAGATCCACATGAATTGTCTGCAGGTCATAGGCCTGGGGCATGTTTCTGTCTGGTGTGACCCCAGGTGTGCCTGTGTCCTTATCCTTTCTCTCCCACAGTTTGAAGCAGGCCCATTCGGCTGCATCTTGCTCACCCTGTCTGCCATCCTGTCCAGGTCCCCAGAGCTGTGAGTATCTCTCTATCCTCTTAGAGGGGTGGGGTGGGGGCAATTGGGGCTGGCTCTTCCCTGCTGTCCCCATCCCCTGCTCCAAGCCAGGCCAGTGTCTGACACAAAATGAGCCTAGTATCTGGTTGAAAGGAAAATTGGCTGGGGGGGGGGGTGGGCAGGGTGAGGATGAGGGCAGCTGTGTTCTCACCTGCCCAGGTCACCTCCTTGCCTCTCTCGCAGACTTTGTGTGGACTTCAGCACTCATAGTTTGGGATGTAGGAGGTGGGCAGTGGAGGCTGAGCACCAAGAGGGGACTCAGTCTCTTAAGAAGCAGGGAGAGGGAGCTCTTTGTGTGTTGTTCCAGGCAAGATTGAACTGATGTTGAGGACCAGTTTCTGAGCAGGTGAGTAAGTGGGTGCCAAGGGGCCTGGTCAGCAAGGAGGGGCACTGGCTGGGTCCCCCCTGTGCAGTCCCTGTATATTACCAGGAGCTGAGCTCTATGCAGCTTGCTCCACAGGAGCTATCTGGGCCTCTTGTTATCTTGGCGCTCTGTCACCAGGAACAGCAGAGTAATTGCAGGTGGACAGCATTGCGAGGTGAAGCATGGTGATGGCTCTGTTCCTTTCAAGCAGAGGTGAACCCAAAGGCTAGGAGGGCTGGGAGAGTGATTTGACTTTTGGGGGTCTGACAGGAAAGGCTTAGAAGCAGTGCTCAGCTGGATCCAGAGGAGGACTTCCTGCATGGCTCTGAGGTGTGTAGGCAGGGAGGCCCGTTAGAAGAGGTGCTTGATCCTTCTGTGGCTAGTACTGTTCTCCTGGGCCTCTGTTGCAGTCAGGAGGGGGCCACATGCTCTGCTCCTGTGTCAGCTTGTCTGCCTGCTACTTGTTGCCCCTGACCTTATCTAATGGATGTGTGTATAGCACTTGGTGGGTGTTTTGTCCTGGCAGGACCAGGATATGAGTTGTTCCTGGCATGGGCCTTTGCAACCCCTCCAGGCCTGGCTTACTTACTTACCCCTCCCTGCATGGAGGGCTGGTGGGGGGCTTCCAGCCTCATACAATCTCTAGCCAGGCCTCAGCTTCTGTCCTCCCCATTCTGTCCAACTAGACCAGTTCCAGCCCAGGCTGCAGCACCTGTGGTTGGTGTGCAGAAGGCATGTAGACCTGCATAGCCTCTGCTAATGAGCTTGGGGTCCCAGTTCTGCCAAAACACATGTGCCCACACATGCACAGATACACACAGGCGATATACAGACACAAGATACATGCATAGATACGGACATGTATACGCAGACATACACATACGCATATATACACATACAGATGTGGACATATAGGCACATGTGTACACACATAGACACTTGGGAACATAGGCACACACATACAGACATGGGCACACAGGTAGACACAGAGGCACAAATGACACACAGATGTGAGCACACAAGCAAACAGAGGTGTACATGTACACACATACAAATGTGGCACACAGGCAGACACAGGCACACATTACACACATACAGATGTGGCCACATAGGAGGACACATAGAGGCACACATGTTCACACAGACATGGGCACAGTGCGGACCCAGATGCACACATGTACATACGTAGAGATGTGGCCACACAAGCCAACACATAGAGATACACAGGTATACACATGTAGACATGTGCAGCACAGACACACATGTACACACATATAACGTGGACCCACAGACAGAGAGGAGGCACATGTGTATACACATACAGATGTGGACACAGACACATAAAGGCACATGTGTATACACATACAGATGTGAACACAGACACATAAAGGCACATATGTATATACATACAGATGTGGGCACACAAGCAGACACATAGAAGCACACATTTATATACATACAGATATATGTGTACACATTGTAGAGATGTGGAAATACAGGCACCTGTGTACACACATATAGACATGGTAGATACAGAGGCACAAACATACACACAGCAGACATGTAGAGGTGCACATGTATACACAAACAGATGTGAGCACAGTCAGAGGCACACATGTACATACCTACAGATGGTACATAAACACAGATGTACACACAGACATTAGCACACTGGCAGACAGGTAGAGGTGTACATGTATACACATACAAATTTGACACGTGAGCACAGATGCAGACACAATTGCACACACATACAGATGTGAGCACACAGGCAGACACATAGAGGCACATGTGTATACACATACAGATGTGGGCATACAGGCAGACAGGTGCACATGAACACATACAGATGTGGGCACATAGGCATACATATAAACATACAGACACGAACACACAGGTAGTCACATAGAAGCACACATGTATACACATACAGATGTGGGCACACAGGTACACATGTTACATACAGGTGTGGGCACATAGGCAGACACATAGAGGTGATGTGCGCACAGGCATGCGCACATAGGCACATGTGCACGCATACAGACATAAGCACATAGGCAGATGTAGGCACACATGTACACAAATACAAATGTGAACACACAGGCGCATGTGTATACAAATACAGATGTGGGCACACAGGCAGACACATAGAGGCACACACAGGCTGATAGACAAACATATATATACAGATATGAACTCACAGGCAGACACAGTTACATGTGCTCAAATACAAATGTGAACATACAAGCAGACACAGGCCTACATGTACACAGGTGCCATTAGCTGTCTCCAGACTAAGAGCCTTCTTTGGGCCCTGTGTGAAGATAATTTGTGGCCCATGGGACAGCCTGGATCTCAGCTTCCCAAAGGACTCAAATGGAGGTCCTGTAGGCTTGGCTTTGTCTTAGCCCCACAGTTCTCCCTGTCCCCCCACCCCCATCTTTACAGGACAAGCCCATGAGCAGTGCCAGTAAAGGCAGTCACAATGCCTAGCGTTCTGTGTGCTAGATCTTTGTTCTCTGCCTAGATGCTCATCTTTGTCCCCATCACCCTATGAAGGGGTCCCTGTGGTCATCTGTGCAGAGGTAAATAGTCTGCCTTTTATAAGAACTGGCAGCTGGGGGATTCTTGGTTGGCTGTTTATGGAGCCAAGCTTGAGAGTGATAACAGGTGTCAGTGTCCTCTAGCCTAGAGCTTCTTTCCCGGGAAGTGGGTTGAGGACTCCTGCCTCCTGAGATGGGCTGTGCCTGGCATGACCCTTTGAGTGGTGGCCGCTACTCTGTGTTGCTGCCTGCTTTAGGCTTGTCTTGGTACCCTGAGGGGAGGTCATAGGCCTCCTTCGTAGGCACATTCTTGGGGACATGGTGATGCTCACACAGGTCCTTCTGTGAGGTGCTTGTTCTTGGCAGGCCCTTTCTGAGCAGAGGTGGGTCCTGAGCACCGAGTGCCATTGCTTGGAGGGGCCCAAGGAGGGCTAAGTGGTAGGACCAGGCTCTGACTTAGATGATCAGTGGAGAGGTGACCCTGAAGACACCTCTTTCTGATCTGGTCAGGTAACAGAAAATGTTCATTAGATGGAAGGCTTCTAGTAAGTGCAGCTTGAGCCACATGTTCCCAGGGGGCTGAGATCTCACTTGTGCTGACCCCACCCCACCACTGTCCAGGTAGACGTAGACTGGAGTAACAACAGGACTGGGGGCAGCTGAGAGGTCAGATCCCTTGTCCCTGAAACAACCTCATAGTGTCATTGCAGTGAAGGGCTTAGCTGACAACAACACTATCTGTGGGCCTAGTCTGAGTCCCTGCCTCCTTCCTTGCACGTCAGGGGACAGATGCTGTTCAGTTGTTTGCCAGCTTATAAGGAAAAGTGTAAAGTGAGGTCCAAACAATCTGCGACAGGCCGGGTGCTGGATGGACTGCTGTGCTCCAAGATCAGAATGGGCCACATTTATGGGTTGCCAGACATGGCAAGGCATGGTGAATGCCCACAGGGTCAGCTGAGGGCTATCATTATGTCCACAAACACTAAGCCTAAGCTGGAGGAGAGAGGCCCTCATAGTGCAGCTAAGAACAGGAATCAGGCCCAGGTTTCAGGGGGTCTCTTGTGACCCTTGATCCCCTTGTATTATGTATAGCACCGCTCACCTCAGAACTATATACTTTCCATGAAGAGGACAGGCCTGGGAGGAGGGAAGGTTCTATGCCAGACTAGCCTCAGCTAGGGGTGGGCTGATTCCCTCTTCCTTTTCATGCCTCCTGGGGTCCAGCTTCTGAAACTACTCTGCAGGATGTCCTCATTCCCACTTTCCCTCACCATGTGTGGTATATTTGCTCTGCATTTGTACAATCTAGAGCTTGGGTCTGGCACCAGGAACGAGACAGACATGACATGATCTGGTCCTGAAAGACTGCTGCCTGGAGGGTGGAGACAGGCACATGAGGATGGATTGGTGCACACCTTCGGGCAAAGAGGGGTGTCTTCATGGATGAGGAGATGTTTAGCAGGGCTCTAAAGGAAAGCCAGAAGGGTTTTGACAGCCAACAGGAACAGCATGACACAGACTACTATAGGGGTTAGCTGCCCAGGGTCTGGTCAGGGATGAAGGTATAAGTGGGAGGTAGCCTGGCTTTGAAGCAGTAAAGACTTGTAGTTCAGCTAGGTCCCATTTCTCCACCCTGAGAAGCCTCTGCCAAGCTCTCCCTGCATCCTGGGCCCCCTGCCCTCCCTCTTCGTCCTGCCTGGAGAGGTGAGAACTCTGCAGTACACAGCCTTTTCCAGGGTCTGCTCTCCTGTGGCCTTAACCCTGTGAGGTGGCTGCTGCTGTCCACATCACATCACACAGTGTTATGCCAAGGTCGCAGGACCCCCACCAAGAAGACCACCGAGAGTCAGACTCTACAGCTGTTTTATTTAAACGGGCTGCAGCTTGGGCCTTGCCCTACACTCCAACACAGCAGAGCCCAGGAGGAGAGCCCTGAGCTAAGGATTTGCAGGTCTTACAAGGGCACATAACCAGGTGGTTTAGCATCACGTGTTGCTCTGCTCGGAAACAAGCAACAAATGGTCACTGCCTCAAATACTCTAACCTTTCAACAGCACAGGTATCCTCTGACACAGAGAGTCCTCTGACTCGCCCCCTCCCTCCCAGCTTTCCTTTAATACCCACTCTTCCTAAGTCCTTTTCAGGAATTCATAGCTCTGTTTCTTACTCTTGGAGGTCATGGAGCTTTTGCTGTGACAGAAATGGTTGAGGCTGCAGGAATTGTGGCCTCTCCGTCATTGTTTTCTTGTTTTTATTATTGTTATCGTAGGAAAAAGGAAATGACATTCACTGAATGCCAGATGCTTTATATAGTTTGGCCCACTCTGTTCTCATAGTTACCTATAATAGATGGGGCACCAGTGTATCCATTTTTTTCAGTGGGGAAACTGAGGCTCATAGGGGCAGCTTATAAATGATAGTGGGTTTGAGCTTGGCACTCCCTGACTTGGGAACCCAGGTTCTCAGCCATATCACAAGCTGCCCTGTCCACCACTGAGTGTCCCAAACAGTCATCAGTGCCCACCTGTGGTGGGGATGCAGCAGAGGGCGTGGCCTCCAGAAGGGTTAGACAAGAGCTAGGCTGGACACAGGCAGAACTGGTGTACCTGTGGTCAGGTGTATGAGGTGGCTGATTGGGGGTAATAACTGCCTATGTGAGGCTTGATGTCTTAAAGATCAGAGTTGGCCAAGCAATCCTGTTCCAGTCCCAAGTGGTCCCCTGAGTTTCCTCTCTCTTGGCCCTTAGCTTTGTAAATGGAGAGGTAGGCCCAGAGAGAGGCAAGGACCTCTAGCTCAGGAGTCTGTGGCCTCAGCCTCTGCTCTTAGGAAACTATCTGGAGCCCAAGGGTTCCCTGAAGAGCTATAGAGGCTGATGGAGGAGGAAAAGATGGGCAAGACCATCACTATCTACACAATGGCAGCTCTGCCCTGAGATTTCTTTTAAAGGAGGATTGAGCCTACAGCATTGGCACACAGAGCCTTACTTCTCACAGCTCCAGAGGCTATAAGTTCAAGATCCAAATTCTGTCAAGGTTGGCTCCTTCCAGGGTCTCTGTCTGTCCTGGGCCTTCATTGGACACTGTCTAGAAGTCCTCACATGTCTGCCTGTGCATGCCCTACCCTATTTAGTACTCTACTGAGTAAAATAGGACAACAGCCAGACTTATTAGGGCTCACCCTCACTTTCATTTAATCACCCTGCTAAGGACATTGTGAGGTCCTGTGTGTCAAGACTTCAATATGTGACTTTGGCATAGTTCAGCCCAGTACACCTCTCATCCTAAGACTCTTTTGTTGTGGAATGGAGACCACACAGCAGCTGCACAAGCAGCCTGGACTTGGGTCTGGTGCTGAGGGCTGACTAATGGTGAGACAGAGCAGAGGCCGTGCCGCTCTGCCCAAGAACTCCTCGCACTCAGCCCCTCAGGAGCTCCCTGGGGAGGTCTGGGCATCTTGATTTGCCAAAGTTGTAAATCTCTTAAGCTATAAGCCGCTCCTTGGCGTCTCCCAATTGCCTTGATGTGAAATACAGATGTTCCTTCTTTTTAAGATCCAAGCACACTTTAGAATTTCCCATCGTGTTTGCACCTAAGTATGCAATTACCATTTCCCCCCATTGTCCTTTCTGCCTGTCCCTCTGCTCCTAGCTGACGCAGGCTCCCGGGCCCACTGGGCGAACACGAGGCTGTGAACTCGTGAAGATCGGATGGCTTCTGAAAGCTTCGGGTGGCTCTTGGCCAGCGATGCTTATCAGTCCCCCTAGGGCTCCTTTGAGGTTATTTTCTTCTCATCAGAAGATGCTTGTATATGCCCCGGAGAACGTTTCCATCAATTCTTCTGCCTCAGCTAGCGCCAGCCGAGCACTGTGCTCAGCCATGAGTCACCTCCGCTGGCTCCTTCCCAGATCCACTGGCTGTCTCTGGTAGCCCAGCCCTGCAGCACTTGCCAGAGGACCCGAACCTCTGTGGTTCTCAGCAGGCCAGGATGGTACTGCAGCCCATCTCATGAGCACCAAACATTCCCCATTTGGCCCTGCCTATCAAAACCACAAGAAAGCATTTTCCCTCCAAGCATTACAGAGCTCGAGTTTCTAAAGTTGTCTGGGAAAAACACAGGTCAGGATATGTGTTTTAGGTCTGTGAGCACACAGTTAGATTTAAAGCCTGAATCAGGATCAGCTTCATTTATAATCCACCAAAAGGACCATAAACAATTGCTGAGCCCTTGTGACCTCTGGCCTGGTTATTGTCCTCTAGGGTATGGATATAGGAGGTGAACCTTTGCCCCTGTATCCAGGTGGTGTGCGGCCCTGTTCCAGCCAGGCCTGGAAACTAGGCTCCCTATCCTCACCCATTCCAGTGCAAAGTCTTCTCTTGCATCTGTAAAGTCAAGGTCATACTTCCTAGCAGACTGGAAACCTGGAGGTTGGTACTCATCGGCTGTAGCCCATGGCTCTTCACTGTTTGCTGGCTAGCCAGCTCTGGTGCTCTGTGTGGCTGAGGGAAGCTGCATCCCAGTGGTGGAATTTGGAGCATGGGGAGAGCCAGCACAAGGTTTTGAGACTCAGATAGGGCTACTTGCCTCCTCATGCCTAGCCCTCCTAGGTGACATTGGCCCTACCAATTTGTCCCCAGTGCTACTCAGCCTTAAAACTCTTTGCCTTGGGCTGGGAATTTCCAGGAAAGGGGCTTTTCACCTTGTTCCACTTGAGGACTCATTCCAAGGATGGAGCCACTGTGCTAACATTGGGGCAGACATGGAACTAGTGTCAGTCACCTGGGAGCTGCCCCTTGGCAGGTGAGCCCCTTTGTGGAGCCTGGCTTTCTGCCAGGGCCTGAAGGAATGCCCACTTGGTGTCAGGCAAAAGCTATGCCCGGGAGGAGTCAGTGGCTATTGCTCTAGACCTCAGGGAAGGTATGTGAGTTTTGCTATTGCCAGTAATACCACCCCACGGAGAAGGTAAGCTTTAATGAAAAGAGGTTTATTTTGGCTCACAGTTCTGAAGGTCCAAGGTGAAGGGCCAAACCTGGTGAGGGCCTTCTTCTGGCAAGGACCTGAGAGGGCATAGGGCATTGTACAGGAGTGTGTCTCCCTCTTCCTTCTCTCTCTACCCCTGCCTTCCTTCCCTCCTCCCCTCCTTCTCTCCTTTCATTATGCCACCAGGATTTAATGGTGGGACTTACCCTGCCAACCTTACCTAATCGTGGTCATTTCTCCAGTGTTCCACCTCTAAACATTGTCTGATTACTCCCTCACCACTGGGATTAAATTTTAACACATGAACCCCTGGGAAACCGCTTAGGTCATATGTAAACTATAGTAGCAGCATTACTGTCTATTTCTCCCATGTCAGTGGTGTCCATTCCTCCCATGTCACTGTCCATTTCTTTCATGTCAGTGGTATCCATTCTTCCCATGTCACTGTGTCCATTTCTCCCATGTCAGTGGTATCCATTTCTATGTCACGGTGTCTATTCCTCCCATTTCATTGACTGGCAGACTGAGTCCAGAAAAGGAAGGAGGGAATAGCGGTAGTTAGGATGTGAATTCAGAATGTAGGAGTCCTCTCCTGAGGTTATCCGCTATGTCTTGCTTGGTTCCTCATCCTCTGGTGATCCAGAGGCCTGGGGTGGCCAGAAGGAAGGCTTTTGCCCAGGGAAGACTGATTTTGGTAGAGCAGGGCTGCGTCTGGAGCCTAGAACACAGATGGCTCATGTTCCCACCAAATATGGAATCCCCATTCTGGGGCCGGAGAGGAGTGCCTGATCACCCAGAGAAACTTTTATTGGTTAGCCTTGGTTTGTAAGGTTGCTGAAGCCATTCTTTTTTGTTTTTTCTAGTGTCCGTCAGGACTTTGATGTCCCCACCAGCCACTTGATTGGAGCACATGGCTACTGCACACAGGTCAGGGGGCCTGAGTATGGAACCTGCGAAGGGAAGGTGGATGGTTCTTCCCCTTTCTCTGCCCCTTCCTTCTTCCCATCTCTGCCAGCTCCCTCCTGACAGCCTGCATATGCCCACCTCTGCTGGGCTTCACTGCTCCAGAGACTAAAAAAGAGAGCTCTGTTCACCATTTCCTTCTCTGGAGTACTTGGAGTGTACAAACCAGTGTGCTTTAGAGCACAGGGGATGCAGAAGCAGCAGAATGCAGGCCCGGTGCTGCACCATATGGCCCCAGCTGCAGGGAGTGGGGCCCTAGATCCTTACATTCACCCAGGACACTGTCTTCACCACCACCCTCTAAGTCTTTACAAATGGCATCCCATGAGGCTTTGCTGGAGGCAGGAGTGATGCCAGGAAAGGAACCTGTTTAACATTCTCGTGAGCATCAAGCCAGAAACAAAATCCCACCTGGGCTTCCATTCACCCCCTTCTCTGCACAGCAAGGCCTCTAGAGTGCAATGTGGGCCACAGGAGCAGCTGGTGCTGGATGCACAAGGGGCTCCAAAGTCATTCTTCTGCCCTGTTGAGTACTCAGTTGTCCTGCAGACCCCACTCACCTGTGTCCAGCTCTGGAAATCCACCTGGGTCCCCTGCAGAGGTGAACGGGACACCATAGCAGAGCAAGGCTGGCCATTGCCCATCTGCCCTTCTGACTTCCCAGGACATCTGGCGCACATTCTGGGTGCTAGTCTGCACCACAGACCCCCCTTTGTGGGGTGGAAAGCAGGGCTGCCTGGAACCTCTTTTGTGGAATGGAGAGCTCTGCTGCCCTGGGCTCCCATAGGGCTCTCTTTGTGGGTGGTGGAAAGTGGGGCTGCCTGTAGCCTTCCTTTATGGGGCAGAGAGCGAGGCTGCTCTGACACTCCCTTTGTAGCATGGAGAATGGGGGGCTGCTCAGGTTGGGGGTGACATCCAGTGTGGGGCTGGGGTTAGCCCTGTTCTTGCTGCACTTGCAGAATGAGCTCTGGGGTACCTTTCCTCTCTGGACTTGGAGTTCCTCTTCTGTAGATGGGACATTTGAACTAGACCAGGAATGCACATAGATTCTTGATGGATGTGTTGAAGAGCAGGCTCAAATCCAGACATATAACAGACTTTCCTAAGGAGACCACTGCCATTGGCCCAGGGACACACATCAAGTAGCAGAGCGCCAAATATTGGCTAAGCTTTGCCATGTGTGGTTTTTACACCTATGGGCGGCAGGAGGTGCATAGTGCCCCTTCTTGTGTGAACTACAGTCACAGCATTACTGTCCATTCCTCCCATGTCACCTTCCTCCAGAAGGCTTGCTACTGGGAGATGGGTTCTGAGCACATCCCCATGGAGGAGCAGGGCCTTTTTCCTGTTGCAGACCAGATGGAGACTTCCCACTGAGAACACTGTCCCCAAGGTGCAGAATCTTAGAGCAGATATTTCCTCTAACTTTATCTCTGGCTTCCTTTAGGAGGATACAATGGGGCCACTCACTTCTCCCTCCAATGGGGCCCCCTCTGCAGCCATCAGTGGAGGCTTTTACTGTCTCTGGGGCAGGGGTGCTGGTGTTAACAGGGATTTATTAACCCCGGATGTTGTTTTCACAATTTCAAGGAAAACATTCCACAAACTTTGCCCTGTAGGGCGTGGGCTATGTAAGGGCAGCTGTGGCTGTTCCTGAGGGCCAAGAAAGCCTCTGCCTGCACCTCACCAGGTGGTGACAGTTCTGGTAGGCAGGTGGCATAGACAGACTTAGCAGCCTGAGTCCTTCCAGAGGCCAGGGTGCAGTGGTCCTGGCTAGAGGAGAGGGGTGGAGGTTCAACTGTGGCACTTGCTCATAAAAAGGTCAGGGTCAGTTCCTCCCAGTCCAGATAGGAGCAGCAGAGCCCTCAGTGGTCCTCCTTGTGGGGGTTGATGCAGACTCTGCATGGTGCCAGCTCCCAGTGCAGGGTTCATGGTTGTTGCCTTGTCTGTGTGCGGCATGGGCCATAGGGCCATGGAATGCCTTAACACCCTGTCCTCCCTCTGAGCTTCTATCTTCTTGGCCCTTTACTGTCTTCCTCTGCTCTGCCTCTCCCATGATGCCCATGGTGTTGAAGTGAGGCCCCAGAATGGCCTAGCCCCAGAGTGCAGCCCTTGGTGCTGGGGGACAGATTGGGGTATTAGGGGGTTCTGGCTGTTAGGTATTACTGTGCTGGGGTAGGTGAAGGGTACTTAGGCAGTCTGGACTATTTTTATATTTTGAGGCTAAAGTCATTGCAAAATCTAAAAGTGGATTTTAAGAACTCTTAAACAATACACATAAGCGTCACTCCTCCACAAAGTAACTCTCACCCAGACACATGGCCTTGATGTCTGGGCCCTGGAGCCCTGTCATGTCCTGCATTGGGCTTGGACCACATAGCACAAACCTGACCCCTAGCCTGGATCCTGGCTTGAATATATGTAAGTTCCCCCCCTCCCCAAAATAGATACAGCACAATCTGGGGTCTAGAATAGTGTCCTGTGCAGTTGGTGCTCAGCGAATGCATGGAATAACAACTGAGTACTTAGAGTTGCTTTGATGAGAAGCTGGCAGCTTTCCCTTCAGGGCCTGTGGAAAGTTTAGTCCCCACTGCCTCTGATTTCTGTCTCTTTTCCTTCTCCACCCTCTTTCCCTGTTGCCAATGTCCCCCCTCCCCAGCTGTTCCAGGGACTTGACTCGGCTTCCCTTTCCCATATCAACAGGAACTCGTCAATCTGCTCCTGACCGGGAGGGCCGTGTCCAATGTTTTCAACGATGTGGTGGAGCTGGACTCCGGGGATGGGCGCATCACACTGCTCCGTGGCATTGCTGCACGGAGTGACGTTGGCTTCTTATCTCTCTTTGAGCACTACAACGTATGCCAGGTACCTACCTGCTCACCCTCTTCCAGACCCCAGGAGCCCAGCTCCCAGGGCCCATAAGATGGGGAGACATAGAGCTAGACTCCAGATTCCGAGCCAGCCAGACTACAGGTCCAGCCTGAATACAGGGGGGCTAGGGGAAGTGCGATGGTGGACATGGACATGGACACCTAATCAGACCCAAAGCCAACTGATACTGAGTCCTGTGAAGGCTGGTCAGAAAGGTTTTGGTGGGGTGGGGCTCAGTATGACCATTGTCAGAGAGGACTGTCGCAGAGTGGGGTGGTGATGATGGTGGTGGTGGTGAGGGCAGCGGGGGTGTCGAGTACCAGGATCTTGCCCAGGCAGAGGAACTCGACATCTTATGCCTTTGATTAGTTTCTTAGGGTAGCTGGAACAGAACTGCAGGATGAAAATTTACACAGAAGCATACTGTGTCATAATTCTGAGTTCAAGGTCTGAGTTCGAGGTGCCAATAATGCCCTACATCGGGCTGGGAAGGTGGCTCAGTGGTAGAGCACTTGCCTTGCATGCATGAGGCCCTGGGTTCGATTCCTCAGCACCACATAAGCAAAAAGAAAAAAGCC